TGAAAGGAAACAAATTAAAATACAATTGTGAAATAGAAGCCTGATTATCCAAAAGAAAAAAGACAGGGAAATTTATTTATTTGTTTGTTTACAGTTATCATATTTACCTGATAGCAGAAGTTGCAAAAACTTGACCTTTTGAACCAACACAAAGTACTATCATGGAGGCAACAACTACAATAAGATCTGGAAATTAAAAACAGACAAGCAAATAAATATGGGTTAGAAAGTTTATGCGCCTTGCACATATTTAGATTTTATGCTAAAACCCTGTACTTCTGTTTAAGATGGTATGCATTCATTTCCCATTGATAACTAAAATTTGATTGTACAAAATGACAATTTTCAATCCTTAATTCTGAAGCAAGTATTATTCAAATCACCCATGGACAAATCAATGGATTTGTAACTAATATACAGTATGTCATAAAAACTGAATATATAAATAGGAATAAATAAATAAGTATCAGACAGGCAGCCAGTTTTTAGGTACAGTGGAAAGGATGATTCTTAATTTTCCCTTCTTCTTTTCTCCCTTTCCCTGCAGAAGTTACATATATTAGCCACAGGTCTTTTCATGTAAAGCATTTCTGAACATGGGTAACTGTAGGAAGTTAGAAGTCATTTTTTTCTTATTTCTCTCTCTTCTTCAGAATAACACTCTCTTCTTGGAAAGATATTAATGTTGATCCCTCTTTAATTTGTCCCAGTAGTAGACAACTGAGCCCATAGGATGGAGGACTAGAGGTCTCAGACCTCCTCTCCCAGAAACCATCTATGCCTTCACACCTGCTTTGGGACAATGGCTTGGTACTTCCTGCTGCCACCCTTATCTTCTGGGAAGGACCTTAGAAGGCATTTACCCAAGTATCAGTATATGAGAGAGAGAGAGCCATATAGCATAGAGGTGTGATATCTAGAGGATTTAACCTTTTCTGACCTCTTTGGGTGATAGACCAATCTTACTGGATATAAAGAAAATCAAACTTTATTTTTAAGAAGAGAGAGAAAACAAATGTAATCCTCCTTTTGAACTTTATGTATTAAAATGCAAACACCTAATGTTGAAGGAGATAAATTGCAAAATTGCGCAGCCCACTGGGAAAACTGTTGGTAACTTAGGCAAATGAAAGAAAATACAATGCCAGACAGTCTACAAAATGGAGATGGTCTGCTATAAATAACAGATTTCTCTGGTAGGACATTTGAGGAAGTATTGGAGAGGTTTCAAATTAATACTGAAAAGTATTACAAGATTCTACAGAAACATCGTAACTTCATTAACATAGCCTGAATGATGGAATGGCAGTTACAATTACTCACCATTCCCTAACTTGTACAGATAAATAAGAACATGAGACAATGAGAGTTTAGCACTACACAGTAAACAGTATTCAAAACCTAAATATTTAAATAATGGTTAAATATTTTACCTATTTCCATTGACAAAGAAGACAAGCATAACTATCTTCTGCATCAATTTACCTGGGCTTCCCCTAGGTTTTTGGTAAGATTCTACTTTAATCAAAGGCTGCTGGTGATCTGATAAACTCCATTTTTTCCAGCCTCCCTTCACAGACTCTGACCTTTGTTTTAAAAGGGCCAAACCCAAATCTTCTGTATTTCCAAAAGGGAACCGGGGAATATCTGTGTATGTGATAAAAAGCCATCTGTACTCATGTGGATGTTTACTGAATGTCTGGGCATCAAGGGCTGTTCTCCTTTGTGGGGAGGTGGACCTACAGTCTGGCATGGGGGGCTGGGGGGCTAGCAGGCAGGCTACATTCATACGAGTGCCATTTGTGAAGATTGAATAAATGGATTTAAGAGGAGTAAATATAAAGGGTAATTCAAATTCCTTTCAGAATTTTGGGGGGAGAAGGAAAGAAGAGGAGCCTGCCTTGCTATTTTCCTTTTGTTTTGATTTTATTTTTAAAGACTTCATGCACAGGAACTTATTTGCTAAGAAGTAGAGGCTCTTCCCGTATATTTTGTTCTTTTAATGTCATTTTATTTTCAGACCTTCTAAAAAATAAATGACTACACAAAAGAAACAAAGAAGAAAATGAGAAAAGACATAGTGGATGGAAAATAAAATATCACTAAATACACAGAATTTACAATTGTCATAAAATTTAAAATCCATTATTTCAATCATTTAATAATAAATGGAATATATAAAACTAAACTCATTGTATCATCTTGAGAAATAATTGTAAGTCACTGCAAAACTCTAAGCATTAGTATTTATATTGATATCACTACTATTAATCATTATCTTAAAAATGCATGTGATCTTATAAAAAAGAAAGGAAAGAAAAAATAATTACTGAAAAGAATCAGTAAAAACAATATTATGTTCTAGATTCCCTCCCATTATACCCAGCTAGTGATTACATCAAATTATATATAAATATTAAAATTGCTTCTGGTTATAATCTTTACATCAACTATTTCCCCTTAAAAATGGTAATCTAAGTATCTGAGTTTGACTTGTTGTATGACATGTAATATAAATGGAGATCACTCTTGCTTAAATTTATTCAAACATCTAATTCTGGATCTATACTGTTAATTTGCCATTGCTGTATATTCCCCAAGTGTGGTTTCCCACTCTGACACTGGCAGTAAAGTATCTCTTTTCCAATGTTGGGCCAAATTTGTCCTTGTGGCTGTCAGCATATATCTTAATAGGATGTGATTTTTTTAATGTGTTCTGAAAAGCTTCCTAGTTAAAAAAAAAAAAAAAAAAACCCGAGGTTTCAATGTATGCTTTGTTTTTAAGATTTTTTGAATAATGCTGTGCATTTATTTCCAGTACTTTCTGAACTTTTTTACATGACCACTACATATGATAAAATGTTCCTTCTGTATCACATTTATTATTATATGATTTATCTATTTTTACAATTATGGACAGAGTTATATGCCATCTGTCAAACATTTTGTACCAATTTTCTCTTCCTCATATATTTTCTTGAAAACATTTATTACCTAATCATGCAACTTTGGTCAGGTGACTATGCATTCTTTGAAAAAAATTAATGAAGACAAGAATGTCCTTTCATCAATGCAGTCAAGTGGTAATACATTTTTAAAGAAAAGCAAAGAAAGAACCACCTCCAAAAGATGAAGCAACTTCACCTTCCCACTTGCACATTTTTTGGAGAAAAAGATACACTCTTTTGTGGGGATCAAATAATCCAGTGAATTCAAGGGTGGGGTAGCATTTAGCACATATTTACTGTATCCAAACTGCCTTGCCACAACTGAGTAAAAGGACTGACTTGGCTTCCTTTCTACATTTCATCTTAATGCTAAAGGGTCCCAAGTCTTCCCTCTGTGTTCAAACAGAGCCTAAGAAATGATCTTCCTCTCTCTTCAGCCTTAATGCTCCTTTTCCCACACCCCATGTGCTCACTCTGAAATCATACAGGTTGTGTTCACATACAGAGTATGTGTTTGACATCCACTTTAGTGTCTTATTTTCCATGTCTGAAACAACATTCCCAATGGAATTCCATTTCTGGAATATATTTTATTTCTGCTACTCTGGAATAGTTTACAAGGGCACTCTATTATCTAGACTAAATAATACTTATTTTATTTTATTATTTTTATTTTATCACATTTGTACAATCGCCCATCTCACATAGTGACAATACAAAGTTACTAATGACTAATATTATGCTCTTTTGGGATTGAAAGATTAATTTCCAAATCACCCTTCTGGGAATATAGAGCCACAATCACTACTGTTTCCTTACTATAGGAGTGAGTAATCTTTTTAAATTTTGTCCTTTTCCTCTTTATTGGTATATCACAAACAGCACTGTGAACTTGAGTAGGACTAGAACAAAATGGTTGGAACCTGATCAAAAATTGAATTTGGTTTGATATTACCCTACCATTAAAAATAACAATTTTATTAAATTGCTGGAAAGACTGTAGGAATCTTGTCCAAGGCTTTGTAGATCTACTGGTTATACACTCTAATGTAGAACCAACCTACTATATAAAAAAAAGTTCCTCTCTCACCCCTACGGGTGGTATGTGTCTTCCTCAGTCTCGGGTCCTCTACCAGAGGGCTGGGAGTTTGAGGGTTCTGTGCAGTATCTTAGCTGTTC